AGTCTGAGCCCTAACCCAACCCATACCCAGCACTCCCCATTTAATTATACATGCCCCTCCTAAGAACATATATAGTTATCTAGAGGGGGCATATACAAATGAATTGGGAACTGGGAGTGAGTGTTAGGGTTAGGGATGGGGGGGGTACAAAAGGAACTCCTATTTTCATTTATCTTACCTGAAGAAGTAGATCAGTATACATTTACATTGACTTTATGACAATCAGTGTAATGTGTAATTACTTTCTGGTATATTGCCCTGCCCACCTTAAAACACACACACCACCAGTGCACACCACAATACGATAATGTATACTTTTGTTTCAATAGATGCAAATTTGGGTCATGTACTATAATACCAAATTATTAACTATTAACTGAGCAGTTTAGTAGGAAGATATTTATATTAATAATATTATATCGTACCTGCATCTCTCTCTTTGCTAAGGCTTCCTATTTGCAGTACTTGTCTTCGTTTACCAGCCACTGCCAAACCTTTGTCTCGACGTCGACCCATGGCGAAGTGATAAAAGTACTAAATTATGTGTTCTGTGGTTCTTCTGTTTTGCGCTTCCGCTATTTCATCTCAAGTATCAACAATAACGTCTTTTATGTGATTGTAATATTATGTAACGTCAGTTCTAATCTATTGAGTGCTGGGGAGATTATTTTTTTCAGTCATTTGATTTTGTGTTTCAAGGTCACGAATGACAGACACTGCAGCAACAACTGATTTCGTAGACAATACAGTTTTTTATACGTGAGTTTTGTGAACAAGAAAGAAATATTTAACTTCCAATCGGTAACTCTACCAATGGTTTTTACGTACCCCTCACGATAAGCTTGTTTTTTTTGGCAAAATACGTCAGATAATACGTACAATCCTGCCGTAGACGGCCATCTTAGTTCGCAATGCATTTTGGACTGGCTTATTTCCGATCAGTGCAAGACGTTTTTTGATTGGTCTGTCGGTTTATAATTAAATATTTGTATCCAATCAAATTGGGTAATGCAAAAGATGACATATCGGGTTACCATCAAGCAGGGCATCTAGTAATTATGTGACAAAAAGCAGCCCTGTTTATTATTATGGTGTTCTTGTTTTTCGATCTTTGTGCAAATACACAAAACTCTTATTTTCTGTCGTTGGCGAGGAGAGAAAAAATCGTAAGATAACATTATTGACAAATTGATCTGTCACTTAGCCATTCAAAATTTTAAGACAACGCTGAATCGGGTCGCTGTTCACAAATATTAAGTTTATTTGCATGATGGAGGACCTGGTTCGCTCTATGATATCGATGTTGGACACAGGCAATGAGGAAGACATATGTGCAAAATTCCAAGAGTTTAACAAAGAGGTAAGGTACTTTTCACATTGTCGATTGCATTTTTCAGCAAGATTGGCGTCAGTGACAGATCAACCTGTTCTGTATTATTACAATGTCTAGAACATGGTGTTCTTATATTTTTGTGATACAGTATATGAAAACGATAATATCTCCCACGAAGTGACCATTTCCTGAGATGAATGACGTCTGGAAAAACAGGCGTGGATCATCAGATAATTCTTAAATTATTTTTTTTCACATTTTCAAAAACAAAAACAATGTATGTGTTTCCTTACTATTAGATATCAAGATATATGTTTTTTTATTCTGATTGGGATATTTGGCCTTATATTAATTGCGTTGCACTTTGTTACAGCATGACACGTACTGAAACTAGTATTTATACTTTTGTATCCAAATTCTGTTATCTACCTGGGGATATTATTTCAGATCAGGGGTCCTGATCGAGTCTTCGTTAAGTGTGTTGAGACATTCAAAGACAAGATATCCTAATCAAGATGAATTTATTTTGCTTGTGGTGCAGGATATGTATCCTGACTCCGTACGTAAAATAAATTCTGGCGATTAAATACAACTTGTATGTGCTAGCTGCGAAATGCCCTAAATATCGAATATGAAACAGGCTGTGAAGTAGGCGACAAACGTTCGTATTGCATGGTGTCATTTCGCTCTTGGGAAGCGCTGGATAATGATGTCACTAATGAACATGATGCCACAGCCATATCGCTATTGTATAAACGTACCTGTACTTATTCTATTCTGGTTTCCATGGAGGTTTTCAGATGGCACTGTGTTAAGCCTCTAATAAGTTCTGCTGTTGAGTTCACAAATATGTCGATGAAAGTGAATAAGGCTGTACCAAATTCCTGTCAAGAGACCCAATTTTAAAAGATTATTATCCACAAAGATTCAATAAAGAGTGAAAAATGGCTTATTCTTCAAAAACAAACTTTTTTTTTTTTTCAAACTAGGTTCACTGAAACTTATCTACTGAGCAGAAATTAACACAAAAATTATGAGGTCTTACGGGTATTCTGCTGTATCTCAACTTTCTGAAAATTTATATATTGCCATAGTTACATGTTTAGTAACTTGCAAAGAATGCCATAATTGTGATAAGACTGTTCCTTTGGTTTCCCTTGTTGCTACTTTAATTAGCAGCGGTCGTCATGTGACATATACAACACATGTATTGTAAAATACATTGTTTACAAACAGTGCACAGTTTGACAGCCACTGCCATGTAATTTTATGACATACAAGTTTCAAAAGAAATCTCAAATATTGTAGTAGTGGAGATTTCACTGGTGTTCGTAAAACTTGGATTCACATTTTGCAAATTTTGATATAGCAAACATTCCTTGTATAAACAATGATTTAACCATTTACAATGTATAAAATAATACACATGTAGTAGTGTGCTGAGCTTTTTTGCTTTGAACACAGGAGGCCCTATAAAAATCTCATTTATACATTTATGTACTTGTATCCTGATATTATCATTGTTTGTAAAAATTTAGTTTCTGTCATATATTTTGAACATGTCATTCATTTGCATATATTTAGTATATATATCCAATTTTCAAAGAAAGTACAAATGCTGAACCTATGTCTGCTTTTGTAATTTTCAAATACAGCATTTTTTTCAGGTCACTACTATACACACTTCTGTCATACATGTAACTGTAGATGCACTAGTAATATAGTAAAATTAATATTTCAATTTTTTACTATTTTAGAATGCACGAACATTTTCATTTGATATTGACGCTGAGTACAAAAAGGTAAGAACTAATTAAAAATCAAATCAAATTCAAAACAGTGAAATGAAAGATGAAAAAAAAATTGATTTGTTGATTGATAGTTATCAAATTCATAAACAGAATATTGTAATGACAAGTAACTGTCATCTGAAGCAATGTATTAATTATAGGTTAACCTTCTCACCACCAGACTTTCTCGCCCCAAATTTGTCTGCACTTTTATTTTTCAATATTTCTGGAAATGAACCCTAATTTTGGAGCCAACTGACACAATTTGGGTAAATTTTAGTTGACTTCAAAAATTTGGCAATTTTTGTCCCAATCTTCTTAAGGAAAGTGCAGAATATAAACAGAACTATTTTTGAGTTTTTGATGAAAAGAGGGAACTGGTGGTGAAAAGGTTAATCTGAAAAGTTTGATGTAATAAGAATTGGGTCAGTAACCAATCAGAACTTGTGTTACAAGATCAGACACCAATCGGAACTCTTGTTACTGGCCAATTTTATTAAGGCGCACTCTTTAATTGGTTGATAAATGCTGTCAAGTGGAGAGCTTTATGAACTTCAACTTGCATAGATAATTGGTCAGATGTACCTAAAGTGTATTTTACACAGTAACCGAATCCTCAAAACAGTGAAATTAAATTCCAGTAAAATTTCTTTTTGTATCCTCGTTGCAGAATTTGATTAGAGGTATTATTGATAGTCTTGCCATGCCGAGGAGTAGTGAGTGCCATGCACAGTGTTTAGAAACTCTGCGAATTCTGAGTCGTGAGAAATTCAAGCTGTACACCATGGCTGAAAGAGAAGGTGTGCAGATATTACTCAGACACGCTGGTTTGGATATTGAATCAGTGCATGAAATGGAAGACAAGGGTAAGTTGAAATATACCAGTAAATGTGCATATTTTCTTTTTACTTTGCCCATAATGACAATGAAAGTCAAGGTATATTATGTTGTTGTTGTCATTAACAGTCGTTTGCTTCCACGATAACTCAAGCAACTTTTGTTAAATCTTTTTCTAACTTTATTTGGTTGAAAACAAATTACAATATATTAGTGAAAATTAGTGAAAATGTTGGTTTAATTATATTTCTGAACTGTTGTTATCAAGCTTATTTTTGATGTATCAGTAAAAGGCTTAATCCCAGTGTATCAATTTTTAACTTTCAAGTATGTTATTGGAATATTCACAAAATTGAAAATCATGTATTAGATCATGATGGCTTCTTGTTTTATTATTACACAGTGACTATAGAAGCACAAAAATGTCTTTGTAATCTAGTATTTAATAGTGACGCTGTTCAGAGAATATGTAGGTAAGTGCTGATTTGTCTTGTCTTGCTGTATTACCCGTACTCTACTTTATTTTTGTGTCAAAATACACAAACGCAGGATCCTCGGATAGATGAAAAATAAAAAAAATGATCCTGGAAATTACATCAAAAACAAGGTATTGTTTTTAAACATTGCGGAAAATTCATGCACTGTATTTGTATTGTAACAAAAATGGATTACCTTTTGATCATGCTTTTTTACCTTGCCCGTACCATC